AAGTGCTGCGGCCAGCAGCTCCTGGCCACTGGCTCACAAACAGAAGGAGCCCTCGTCGTGGCCGATTTGTAATTGCAGTGATGACAACAGATTAAATCACTGGCTCTCAGCACTAAGGACTGTGGTTTGTCAGGGTCACTCACTGTTCCTTCGCTTCTCCCAATTTTCCATAGTGAGAGAGCGAGTTTGGAGTCTACTGCTATAGTGCAAATACTTATTGGGAGCCCTCCGAGTTTTACTCTGTATACAAGTTTGTTCTTTTAGTAGTCTATAGTGCATCTCTTTCTTCCAGCATCCCTTCAACATGATTCTATTGTAATCTGTTGTAATCCTTTAATATACATATATATTTATTTTTTTTAATTTCACAATTTTACGGGGTATACACGTTTTGGTTACATAATTTGCTTTTGTACAGTTTGAGTCAAAGTTGTAACTGTGCCCTTTACCCAGTTAGTGTGCATTGTACCCAATAGGTGTGAGTTTACCCATCCCCTCTACCCCTCCTCCTACCTACTTGATTTTCCTTGAGTTTTACTTCCATATGTGCATATAAGTGTTGATCAATTAGTTCTAATTTAGTATCATATGTATTTGTTTATACCTCACTTTTTTCCAAAAATGATTTAAGGTAGCTTACAGTTATACATATAAAGCAGTAAATTTTTTAAAAGTAAGAAGTGGGACAAAAGGAATATATGAGTAGGGAAATTATGCACAGTCAGAATAAAGATTAATTCACAAAGTTTAAACTACAAATAAAGTCTTCTAGAGGCAAGTTAGAAATGTTTTTTTCTGAGTTTCCTAGCAGCCAAAGCAAAGAGGGAAATTTAAGGGCAAAATTCATGTGTAATGAGTGTAAAGAGTGTTTCCTTGCACTGCATAAACTCCAGAAATTGCTCATAAAAGATCATGAAATGACCACCTGGGCCCTTGCTCTCATCAGCTTCCCTGCAGTGAATAGCATAGTCATTCAGTTGACTTCCTACAGTGTCCCTTGCAGTAGTCTTGGTAGCAAAGCCCCAGGTAGGACAAGGGCTCCCCTGGAGGCCTGCACAGGGTGTTTCCATGCAGTTCATCACTTCTTCAAAGAGGCTTCCCCAGGGAACCTTGCCTCTGGGGGATGCTCTACCCCCAAAAAGTGCCAGGAGCAAATGAATCTGGCAAGAACTATTGATACCAGTGTATTAAAAGCTCCTAGAAGTCCTACAATTAAGAATCAGCCCAGCATTTCCCAAACTGATGTAATCTCAAGACCTTTTTAAAAAATCAAAACACTTATTTGGCACATTAAGAAACATTGATCTAAAATAGGGGTCAGTACCTTTCTATTAAGGGCCAAGTAGTAAGTATTTTAGGCACAACTAAAATAAACCACTGTCGCTGTCACAGTTAGTCAACTCTGCCATTGTATCAAAAAAGCCTGTCTGTGTCTGATAAAGCTTTATTTGCAGATATTGAAATTGGAATTTTATATAATTTTTATTTGTCTCCAAATAGTATTCTCCTTTTGATTTTTAAAAAAACCTTTTAAAAATGCAAAAACCATTCTTAGCTCACAGGCCATTCAAAGACAGGTAGCAGGCCAGATTTGGTCTGTGAACCGTACTTTGCCAACCCCTGGTCAAGAATGATGTTTGGGTGGCATATCTTGCCAGCAAGCAAGCCTTTCGGAGTACTGTTCCTCAGGGTTCAGTTTTAATTTGAACTTTTATGTTTTTGGTTTAAGAGCAGATTTAAAGAAAAACAAACAGAGAATTGGTCTGAGTCCTTACAGGCTAGTCTAGGATTTTCCTCAAAAACAATTGTGGGTCCTCTCAAAGAAGACGTTTACAAACTAACAATAGAAGTCTTACTCTGTCACATACAACTGCATCAACTTTAGGCTGGAAATGTCTTAGTGGGCATTAGCATTCATTCACTGTACATAAAAATGAAAGTCTTAAAGCACCCAGAAACATTTAATTTTAAGAAAATATAACTTCCTTGTCAACTCTGCAAGTAAACTAGTAAGCAGTGACTCCCCCCACCCTCCAAGCTAACGGAGTTCTTTTTGATTTTGACTAGGGAGACATTCTTTCAGCTTCTTGTGATTTCACTGTGATGAAAGAAGAAGAATCAAAACATTCCCACTACTACATCTGACACTTCAGTTTCCAGTTGTACAAGTATTTTTTATTGAGCACTAAGTGTATATAAAACATCTGGGCAGGTTTTATGGGGGATACAAAAAGGAGCAAGGAGCAGACAGTTCCTTCTTTACCTTGTGAGCCAAGTTCAAGATCCTCACCAGTTATTGCTCCTTGCTATACTGCCAGGATTAATTTCACTTCTCCGGCTCTTCCTGTCACCATTCATCCATTCATTCAGCAAACACCTCTGAGTTGCAGCCTCTGTTCAAGGCACTGGGAACACAGCCCTCAGAGCGTGCTTTCCAGGGCACGTTGGTGTTTCTGTTTCCCTCTGGCATTCTTGCTTGCGATCTCTTTTATATGGTGGAGCAGAAATTATTACTGCATTTCCCAAGACTTCAACCTTTGTGTTCCCCACGCTGTGTGTGACTCTCCTCAAAACATTTAGCGGGAGAGTGTGTCTCCTGATTAACCACCCTTTCTGGGACTGGATGCTCTTGTTCCCTCCTCCTGAGTGGCACCCACCTTTCCCTGCCCTCTTTTCTTAGTGTACCAGTGGGAACATAGTTTGACCAGATCCATAATTTTAAAGCCATTGACTATATTAAGCAAGAGGAGTGTGAACAATGTTACAAGGTAGCTAAACATACAGATAAGCAATATCTGTTGGATAGTTGTTTTTGATTGAGAAGACTCTATAGTGTTAATTTTTCCATTTATGAAAGGAATATTTAATTGCAGTGAAAATTTTTAAAAATATGAAAAAGTATACAGTAAAGAGAAAAAATCTGTAATTCTGGCACCCATTGATCAACCCTATGAACATTTAACATACATTTTTTACTTTCCTTGATTCGCACAGTAAAATTGACCTTTATTTGGTATATATACTTCCGTGAATTTTAAGATAGTATACATTTGTGTAACCACCACCACAATCAAGATCAGAAAAATTCCATCCCCCCTGTATAAGCAGCCCTTTGCCAGCCCCTGGCAACCACTGATCTGCTGTCACTATAGTTTTGTCTTTTTGAGACTGTCATATAAATGAAATCAGGTAGCATATAAACTTTTGAGAATGACTTTTTTCACTTAGATTCATTCAAGCTGTTGGTGTGTATAAATAATCATTTACTTTTTGTTGCTAAGTACTGTTTCATTGTGGGGTTGTCCCACAGTTTGGTTATCCATTTGCCATTTAAAATTACTTTTAAAAAATAAAGTGACATTTCC